ACTATGGTGACTGAAACAGAGGTGAAGTAAACTCTCTTTGTGAACCGGAAAAGTCAGAGTTTCCCATATTTCAGCTTTAGAAAACTTTTTTCTAAAGCTGTTTTCAGTTAACCTGCTCCATGAAACAGATCCAGGGTCCAGAATAGTGTATATTTGTATGAAATTCCAACCCAAGTCTCCATACAGCTCAGGTTTGCAGCCTCGACATGGGAAAGAAAGGTAAATCATAATTCATAAGACAGACGTAGATGCTGGCCTGCAGAACAGAACATTTGTTCCTGTATAAAATTCCCCCACATCTCTCACTGTAACTATTTTTGTTTCTTTGTGTAGAAAGATAAGAAAAAAAGGTGCTTACTTGTGAGTGAACAGCTTTAGAGGACCGTTTACAAAAGTTTGTGTCATTAAAGGAAAATTATTTATTTTCTTTCACGCTCATGGTAGAATTAGACATTGTGTCGATCCGTAAAAGTGCCTGTTATCTCGCAATCATTTGTGTCTTTGTTGTGTAAAGACAAACCCACACATACACACTGGAATACACGTTACAACGACCTCAAACTTAGTTCTCTGATCGCATCACCATATTCAGGCAAAACACTTAGAAAACAACAGTTGACTCTTGTTCCTCAAACCTAAGCCCCCTTTTGCATTTATATGTTTTTATTACTTTCAGTTCCTAATTGATTTAAGTAGAAACTTCATTGTAAACTACTAAAAACAGAATGTTTACCCACAACAGTACTCTACCAATAAGTGAGATGCTTATTTCCTACTTAAGAGGCTATTTCCTGCTTCATCACCACTTGTGCGCTCAACATCTTCTGGGAGTCAAGTTATTGCTCTTCTCTACCAACTGGAGTTAAAATGAACAAGGTAGGTATTATTTATTATTTATAAAACATTTATATTTATAATTAATAAAAAAAAGTTACATTTCTTTAATGTATTCTTTACTAGACTTTTAAACAAATGTCTCCTTACATGTATTTTTATTTAAACACATGAGATTCTCATGACACTGTACCCTTTAGATTTAAAACTGACATTTTTTCCTCTATATTAGGAAAGTGACCAAGCAAAAAAGTGGCACATTGGATCCATAAAGAGTTTCCTTGTTTTATGCGTGTTGTTTGCTTTGCTTATCCTGTACTGGGATTCCCAAATTAAAACCGAATTTGTCCCTTTGACTCATTTGAGCAAGACTAGGAATGTGACAATCCTTATCTGGTACTGGCCCTTCGGCAGCACATTTTCTCTAAAGGGTGATGTATGCTGGGATCTGTACAAAATACCTAACTGTAAACTGGTGGACCAGCGCTCCTTGTTCCCCTCAGCTGACGTCGTTGTGTTCCACAACAGAGAACTGATAGCTGGTACCCAGAGACTTCCCACCGAGCTCCAGCGGCCGGGGGGTCAGAGGTGGGCCTGGATGTCTCTGGAATCTCCTGCTCACAACGGCAACCTGCACAAGTTTGCAAATATCTTCAATTTGACAGTATCCTATAGGAGGGATGCTGATGTGCACACGCCATATGGTGAACTGCTTCCTTTGGAGTCTGAAGGTAACCTGGTGAATGACAGTCACATAAATAAGACCTCTTTGGTCTGTTGGGTGGTCAGCAACTACATGAACCACCACAAAAGGACACAAGTGTATAGAGAGCTCAGCGCCACAGTTCCTGTAAACGTTTATGGCAGCTGGAATAAAAAGCTCCTCTCCTCTGCAGACCTCTTACCAACAATCTCTCGCTGCTACTTTTATTTGGCTTTTGAGAACTCACAGGCAAAGGATTATATCACGGAGAAGCTTTGGTATAATGCTTACCAAGGAGGAGCTGTACCTGTTGTACTGGGACCCCCCATAAGTGACTACAAAGCGGTGGCTCCAGATCATTCTTTCATCCATGTCGATGAGTTTCCATCGGTGCAAGAACTAGGAAAGCACCTTCAAAGACTTGCAAAGGACAGAAAGCAATATGAGGAATATTTTACGTGGAAACGAAACCAACGAGTTAAAGTCCATGGAGACTGGAGGGAAATGCTTTGCAAGATTTGTTTACAGTACAACAGTTTACCTCAGCATAAAGTTTACTCAGATCTAGAGGCCTGGGACAAGACAAGTTATACTAGAAAATAAATAGTTATGTTGGTTTGCTTTGCTGTTTAGTTGGTGTGTAACTATGCTTAGATTAATAATAAAATTTTCCATACTTGTACTTTCGCATCGTTGCTCTTAGTACTACATGTTGAGAAATCTTTGTATCAGAATTACACTGAAAAAAATTATGCATCCGTTTTTGGTATTTAGTTAATTTTATCTATATATAAAACCGTGAAGCTGGAGGGGGAGGTGTGATGGTGTTTTTGGGTGCTTTGCAGGTAATGCTATCTGGGAATTAATCAAAATTGAAGGTATACTGAACCAGCATGGCTACCACAGCATACTGCCAACAACATGCCATTCCATCTGGATTGCATTTAGTTGGACCATCATTTATTTTCTAACAGGACAATGACCCCAAACACAGCTCCAGGCTGTGTAAGGGCTATTTCACCAAGAAGGAGAGTTATAGGGTGCTGCACCAGATGACCTGGCCTCCACAACCACCGGACCTGAAGCCAATCGAGATGGTTTGGGGTGAGCTGGACTGCAGAGTGAAGGCAAAAAGGTCAACAAGTGCTAAGGATATATATAATTCCACATGTGTTAATTCAGTTTTGATGTCTTCAGTGTGAATCTTCAATTTTCATAGTCATAAAAATAAACTCTTTGAATGAGGAGGTGTGTCCAATCATGACTATAATAAAATAAATAAAGATGTGACAAGGACAGTTATTCTGGGTGTAACTGGTGTTGATATATATGATGACTAATCAAAGAGCATCAGAGGAGTGTTTTTTAACTACTTGTTGAACATCTAATAAACTCAGACTTTTGAATTTATGAACAGATTCTTTCATATTTGAAGCTTTGTCAGCTTACATTGTGTTTTCAGTACCATACCCAGCACTATTTTTAAATAAAATAAGAAGAAAATGTAAATTCACCACGGCGGTAAAGGCAGGAAGCTCACAGTTTGACTGAAGTTCCTCTGTCTGTGGTTAGAGCATGTGACATTATGTCTTTAACATATTTTTCAAAGTGAATAAAATTATAAACTTAATATCTAATAGTTCTTCAACAGACTCTATTCAATTATTCTATTAAATGATCATCACCACAGAGCCTTTGGTTTTTCTATCGTAGGAGAAAGTCATGGAAAGATTTAGGCCACTCTTCTCTTGCATTGCTGACTAAAACCGCAGTTGCTTGTGTAAGCAGCCAGCTCACAGTTTGACTGGTTAGTCTGTCTGAGGTTAAAGCATGTGCCATTATGTTAACCAAAAAAACAATACCACGTATGCAGTGGGTCAGTTAAAAAATATTGAGGCCAGGGCAAAGGCAGGCTTGGGACTTTTTGCAATAGGAGAACACAAAACAAAAGTGTACTCTTTTTGAATGTAGACATTCTAAAAGAGTACATATGTAGAATTTCTTTTACCTGTAGTCCCTCTCTTCCAGACCCCTTTTTCACATTGCCCCTTTCCCTTTCTATTGCTGGTTCAGTTTAGTTGTTGCCCCACTCTCAGTCTCTTACTGTCTTTTTCTCAGTCATTAGATGGTATTTCTGTACCTTGTGATCAGTGATGGGACTAACGGCGTTGAAAGTAACGGCGTTACTAATGCCTTCACCTTGTTTTAGTAACGAGTAATCTAACTAATTACTTTGACTGTAACTATAACGCAGTTACTATTGCAGACACCCCGTTACTGCGCGTTACTCAGGTCGCACAATGAACTTTTTTTCATGATAGGATTCGTGTGCGCCTTGTCATAAGAGAGGGGAGGATGGGATTGGCTGATGTATAGTGAGATTCCGTCTGTCAGTTGGGTGTTTCTGCTGGTGGGTGTTAACGTACAGCACACACAGAGAGATGGAGAGTGAGGATGACTCCAGCAGCAAAACAGCGTTTTCCTGATGGAAATACTGGTGTTATGTCGAGCTGCGTTTCCCCATCAAATACCCTTACCCTTCCCTTGCATCTCCCCACAGCGCAGGCGGCACGATTCACCACACAAGCAACAGGAAACACGCATGCTCGCTAAAAGCGCGCAACAGTCGCCCTGTGCTCGCGCCACAGGAGAACTATGGAGAGCGTGAACGATTAAATGATAGCCTATATGGAGAAAGGGAGAAATCTGGATGGATG